TGCGGGCTCGAATGTGCTGCAGTTTGCTCCTCCAAGAAGGCCGAACATTTCTTGGGTTTCATGCACTCCGACGAGTCATGCATCAACTAGCATCCTGCGTTGGATACCGTCTAGAAAAATCTCAAAGAACATTGAAGAGACTGTGCCCCATGAATACGGACAGATGTAGTCCACGGGCTCTGACTAGTGCTCACACCAAATTATAATTATAATTTCCAGCACTGACTGACACAAATTGCAGCAGATAATTAGCGTGCACGCGGAATGACTTTTACATTTTCCAGCAGTTTTGAGTCAACCGAGCAGTGCACAGGATAGGACGAGAATTCTGCTCAAATATCACTTACCGCGACGTGACTGGCCAGGCGGCACGAACAGTTCATTCTGTACGTCAACACTCACCTGTTGTGAAGTGGGCCCGGCGGCCAAAGAAGGTACTCCACTCTGTTTTGCGGGGATTTCGAATTGACATTGCCATTTTGGCGAGTCATATGTCTGCGCCACCAGGCCTGGCAATGGAGGCAGCATTGCAGGAGCGGCTGCCTGAGAGGACACATTACTTTTCGAGAAGGCTGTAAAATTTGAAGGTTGGATAAATGAAAGACCGTTGGACGCTTCCTCGTCTGCAAATTCGTAGTCTCCATTCTGCTCCACCGCACATGGCGATGAAGGGATTATTGGAGGAGCGAGCGGCTGTGGTGGTGCTTTCCCTGGGCTGACTGTCGGCCACGCACCCGAACTCTCTGTGGCATTATCGTAGACGCCACCGTTAGGCACACGGTACTGGTCGTCCACGTCAACAGAAGCAGTATCGGTACGTCTGAAATGCAGATATTCAGCTCTTACAAATGCCACATACAATGTAGTTGCTCAACACCTTATTGAGGTTTGCTATTGGTCCAATTGGGGCCTAGACTCCCGTCTGTGGTTCCTATGGATAGAACAGTCTTTTGCTGTAAAAAAACTATTAAATAACAGGTCAAGGAGAGGCCAACGAGGTTTATATGAAGAAAGCAAGATTGCTGTCTAAAGATCAGTAGCACACAAGCCTTTTGGAAGGCCCAGCTAAATAAAACATGATAAAGATGATAAAGACATGATGAAGTCATCGCCTTGCGCTTAGAAACCAATCTTCACTCTGTAGATTATTATCCTTTTTTTTTTTAAGTATGTTCCACCTATATCTGAATTTGCTATTAAGCATGCATGTTTTTGTTAAAGAGAGTAAGCACTTTTGCGCAACTTCCTGTTTTGACGAGCGAGTTTGGCTACCAAATGTTTGTCCAGTGCACCTTCTAAACAAGTCAATCTTCGCCTACTCCTGAAGAAGGATATGGGGCTTTCTGCGAGGCTGTATCACACCTTCCCATATTATCGTTTTTACATTTTCTTTCCATTTTTTTCTATTGCGACTGTTTGATATAGTTTAGCCACTAATTTCTTGGTTCAGTTCAGTTAAGTTCAGTTTTATTACGGAAATATAGGTAAATACCTTTGAACTCCCTCTTTG